CGGCGCTGTGTGGGGGTTCTTCTTTAGCCGAGCCCGGCCTGCCCAGCCCTGCACCCCCGGCCCCGCGGGCTGTGTGCTCCCGCTGGCAGTGTGAGGTGGGAGGCCCCGCAGCCCCCCCATCCCGCCGGGCCGATGGCAAACAGAGCCTGGAATTTGCACGGCTAAAAGTTAAATACAACACACACACGGATTTCGTCAGAGGCCCTGGCACGGCTGCCTTTGCGGGATCTGATTAACGGGGAAATAAAAGGGCCAGAGAACCCACACGGCAGCGTGAACAGATGCCCTATAAAAATCAAATACGTGGTAATCAAGGGGACCGAAAGGTACATTTAAAAAAACAAAAACCCACCCTGGAAACAAAGGAACTGGGCTTTGTGGCTTTCCTGGGAGGGCTGCGGAATTAAAAAAAATTTGATAATCTTTATATGGCAAAAGACCCATCTTTCAAATATGTCACAAATTCATATTAATCACCTTCCTATTGCCTTCTGTGGCGCAGCTATTCCAGTTGCCTTGGGCAAAATTGGGAACTGTCTGGTTAAAAAAAATGTTTTACATTATAATTTACAAGAGCCTACAAGTCTAGTTTCTTTTAATGGAAAGAACGATTAAAAAAAAAAGAGCAGAATATATATACACCCTGGTATATATACACTATATATATTAAAATATATATATAAAAGACAGATATTGTAACTCCATCTGGAAAGAGAGAATGTTTGATCTTAACAATGTAACTTCTAGCTTTCAAACGGGCTCAGAAAACAAGAAGTCAGCAGGAGTTCAGATAAAGGAAGCTTAAAAGTCAAATAATTCTGACTCTGAACCCGAGACTTCTTAGACTCAGGGTCCTTTCCTTTACCCATTAATGGGCTGACTTGTGAGCTCAGGAACAAAGTGCTGCAATGTGAGGATTTCTGAGAGTCACTCATTACAGATCACTGAGTGGAGTCTGAGTTGCGGAAATCAAAGCATCCAATCTAGAGTAACTGGCTGAACTTCTGCTTGGAACTAATTTGTTCCGAGTTCAGCTCACCTTTCACCTCCCGAAGGCCCCGAGTAAAGTCCCCACGGGGGTCAGCGGCAGCCAGCACCGGGGGGATCCCCGCGCAGCTTTAGCGGTCAGCAATGGGCACCGCAGCTCCCAGGGGAGGTGGGCAGGCAGCCAGCTGGGCTAGGGGCCATACAGTGGGCACAGCACTGCCCTGGGCCTGGGCTGCTGCTGCTGCGACAGGCAGACGCCCCTCCTAACCCGACCTAGAACACCCTGCTGAGATGTCCCCCATCCCCACTGCTGGCCGAGGGGGATGCTGGCAGCCTGCTGTCACCACCACCAGTATCTCAAGACCCTGGTGTGCCTTTGCCCATCCATTCCAATTCCTGGAAAGCACTCCTAGTTCTATGCCTGGCTTTGCCACTCGCTCCCTTCAACATCTGGAACAAGATAATTCTCTCCAGGGAAACAAATCTGGCTTCAGGGCAGCAGCTGGTTTTGGAGGCTGAACTAATCCATGCTTAATCCAACATGTGGAATGCCATGGATGGGCAGTGCAAGGCAACACAAAGGGATTCTCCAACTCAGAGGAATTTGAAATGGGGAGACTAAATGATTCCTCCAAGGACCCTTGGCAGCTCGATGGCCAGGCACACTTGAACTCGGGAGTTCAAGGCTGGCATGGTAGGGTTAAACGTCTGAAGCAGCTTCGGCGAGGGGAAGGGCAAGGTGTCTCCTGCCAGCACCCACCACGGCCAGGGCTGCAGGAGGAGAGGGAGGCAAAGGCCACCAGAAAGCACCTGCCAAGAGCTGCTCGTTTGCACCCCAACAGTGCCAGCCCGCTGCGAGCGCGGCGGGGGGCAACGCACTGTGCTGCCAAGGCAGGCTGCTCTCAGCCTGCCCTGGGCCCACCACCTCCCACGTCCTCCCCATTGCACGGGGCCTGGGACGCCTCAGGGCTATGGCTCCGCGGGACGGAGGGACACACGTGCACCCACCAGCTGAACAGCCGGCAACTGCCCCAGCCGCCCCTTTTCAGAGCTGAGCCCAGCCTGCTCATCTCCCAGAGGCAAATTTTAGGCATGATGCTGAACAAGAGGCACCATGGCTGCTCCCGCCAGCCCTGGGCAGTGCAGAGCAGGGCACAGAGCATCGCTGACACACGGCCTCCACTCAGCTCAGCCCACCCTTGGACAAGGCGGCTGTGGGCCGTGGGCTGCTGGCTTCTCCCACCATATTGCCCAGAACCACAGGAAAGGTTCAGGGCAAGCACAGCCCCTGGCCCTGCCTAATCTCCAGACACACCTGAGCCAGGCAGAATGTGGCAGAGCAGTCCCATTCCCCTTCTCTCCAAGATACCCCTCCAGCTGGGATGTAATTTTTTCCCCCTCAAAAGGTAGCACAAAATGGTCACAGTGTGAATGTGCTTGACCTTTTGTCTTGGACTAATCTAATTGTGTCGTCTTTGTGTAATCAGCCGGTAAAGGTCAGTGCTGTATTTAACATGGGGGCCCTTTAGGTACTGAATTTGCCTTGCAGTGAATTAACTTGATTATATTTCTTTCAAATATGTCAGAGACCAGGTCAGTTTAACTCTCTCTGTGCTGCGTGGGCCCACCCCTTTGTTTCTAGTTCCAGGAGGTGGCACTGAGGAACATGGTCAGAAGCACACACATGGGCCCCCCTCCTGCAGCCATGGCCACCACCGCCACCACCTCTCCCACCTTCCCCACAAGACAAGTCTCAAGGGAGAGGCAAGTGGTTTGTGAATCAGCCCGAAAAGTTGGCAAACCAGGACGCTTCGGACCACAGGGAGGGGTGAGATTTCAGATTGAATGCAGTATTGAAGAAAAAAAAAAAAAATCAAAGACTCCTTTGCAAACATGAACCTGTCTCAGTGGAACGCTTCCTTACGACTCCATACTGTCACAATCAAATAGGACATTACTCAAGTCCAGAATAAGGTGTCACCTCTGCTGTTGACAGATAAGGTGTTCTCGATATCCTGCAATACATTATACATTTTAGGAAGTAAAGGTCTGTGCCACTACCAGGGGCAGTATGTCTGAGGCGTCAGGGATGCCACTGTGTGGAGACGGGCAGCTTCTGTCAGGCAGTTCAGCTCGGCTGTGCCAGGGGACTGCACAGAGGGGAAAGCAGCCTCAGTTGGCCCCCAGGCACACCCCTGGCGCAGAGGCAGGGGCGAGGGGCTGGGCAGCCTGCCCTCACGGAGGCAGGGAGGAGAGGCGGGCGGTCCGCATCCCGCAGCGGTACACACGGGACGCTGTCTTGGGGCTCACAGTGGAAGAACCCCTAGGGCTGGCCTTCCTCTCAGCACTGGAAGCAGCAGTACAGAAACATTCCTTTGCTCTTCAAGCACCTCTCTCCTTCCCAAGCCTCCCGCTCTAGGCAGGGTTACTGCTTGACTCTAGGGACTCGGGCAGGTCCTGGCTCACCATCTCGAGACTGCTTTCCCCACTCGCTTCCCTCTGCTGAGCAACCCTTATGGGGCTGTGTCTGGAAGGAAAATGCCTCAGGCCCACTGTTGTACTGGCATCACTGTTGCTGCCCTAGCGCAAGCTCTCATCAACCAAAGCCTTGCAGCTTTGGTCCACGGTGGCACCCACATCAAGCCATCCACCTGCATGCAGGATGTAGAAAGCCCTGCTGACCCCACCTATAGCACCAAGAACACTGTCCAGCACAGGAGACGAGCCCAGAGAGCAGCGCTGGGCCTTGGGGGGGGCAGGCGTGCTGTGCTCCCTTGGACACGCACGCCCGGAGGGAGGGCAGCGTCCCCAGCGCTTGTCAGGGCATCTGCGTCGGAGACCGGAGCGCTCCCGGCTCTGCCCCCGCCACCTTCCTTCTCACCGAGTTGGGGGTCAGTGGTGCGCCTACTACATCAATGATCTGGTCCTTGGAATCTCCCTTGCCCTCCTCGATACCAAGCCCTGCCTGGCCGTCTGGGTGGGCACCTTCTGTGCTGAGAGGGCCAATACTACCAGCCTTGGCCAGGGCCTCATAGCGGTGCCGCAACATCTGCAGCTCATATTCGCAGTTGGCGAAGGCTTGCTTCAGCTCGTACAGCAGCACCAGGTCGCTCCGCAGCTCGTTGAACATCTGCACAATCTCCTCTGTGGGCATAGGGTTGAGATCTAGGGGGAAAAAAAAAGGGGTCTGTTAAACACCCAGGCCTACAATTCTACAACAGGAAATCTCTAGAAGTCCTGGCTGCCCATTCACTCCAGCAAAGACACACCAGAAACCTCACTCCTATCACATGGATCTTTAGCAACCAGCATCCCGAAGAGTTGCAGATCCGATTTCCCAGGCTCAGGACTCGGCAAGCGAAGGCCGATGGAAGATGCAGACCAGATCAGACAACCGAACCTTGCTACCCATCAGGTCATCTAAAGGGAGCTCAGTCTTGGGCACAAGTCCTCACATGCTGGACAGAAGAGCTCCTGCTGTTTCCTACACCTTCATCTAGACAGGCTGAGCTCCCTTGCCTTTCTTGTTGATCCTCCCAGGGCAGGACTGAGGCAGAGACTTGCTTGGCTACCATGTTACACACATGTTTTAAGGCAGACTTGGTCTGGGGCCAGCAAATCACTGCCCCCTACCACACATTCTACTGCAGCCCAATGTACACAAACAGAGCCAGAAAGAGCTACATGATCTGCAGAAAAGGACAAAATTCTGTGCATTTGTCCCAATACACAGCAGTGGCACCCTGTCTGCAGGGCTGCCCACAGGACCCCTGCCTGGTAGCACTGTGTTCCCCCACACAAAACTCAGGTGTGTTTCTGCACTCTAAGGCACAGCAGGGCTGGAGCACCAGGAAGCCCTCAAGATGCATGTGTTTTGTAACACAAGAGTGGGGAGGCAATAACCCCTCCTTATCCTCATGGAAAGTGAGCTCTAAGAAGCACTCATCCTTCCCCAAGGCTTCCCTAGCAAGCCAAGACAGTAACTCCTCAGTTTTAAAGCAGAAAGGGGGAACCACCTTGGCTGAGCTGCTTTCACCAGCCACAGGAGGCCTTCAGACTTGCACAGTCTGAGACAAAATATCAAGCCATAAACCAGTTGGCCCAAAAAAATAACAACGGTTAACAGAAGTTAGTGCTGGCAGCAAGCTCAGTGATCTCTTGTAAATGACCTATAAGGCTTTTTAATTTTCTTTAAAATTCTTTATTTTGGAAAATCCCCCCAGCCAACGCAAGGGGAAAAGGGATCATGAGAGGTCTAATCAAGGGGCACTGCATGCTGGGAGCTGTAGTACCTGCAAACTGTACCCACTGCACAGAGGGCAGCAGCCAGCCATGGGCTGCACTCCTGCCCCTCCAGCTACAAGCGGGTGCTGCATGTGTTAGGTGAACCGTTCTTTCTGCTGCCAAGACAGAGGAGTTGAAGAGTGATGGATGTGTGTTTACTTGCCTTTCAGCAGAGATGCTCCAGATTTTCACACGGCATGCACCTTATAGAGGGGGGATGAACAGTCCCAGACGCATTTTGGACTTGCCACCATGAGCAGTAAATTAAGAGGAAACGAAGCTTGAAAGCAAGACAGGGCAGCCCTGAACAATGCGTGTGCCGCGGTCACTAACGCACTCAGAAGTACCTCTCCTGGCAAGGCTGAGATTTGCCTTCCTAATACTGTGCTGCCTCTCTTGATGGTTAAAAAGGCCCAAACAAGAGAGAAACAAAGGCTCTTTTAAAACATTTTTCTACTGGGAGGAAAAAAAAAAAAACCCTGTGCATCTTGTTCTGGCTTTTACCCTCTCTTTTTTTTTTTAAGAACATAAAATATTTTAAAAACCATTCACATACTGTTATTCAAGAAACTGGCTGTATTACTAGGAGAAAAAATAGCCCATCTCGAGAACAAAGGCAAGCTCTGTGTGTCTCTTTCTCTCTCGCGTGCCCCCTTTACTCACCTACTCCGAGTTCCATCAGCATCTGCTCCAGGGCTTTAATCTTCTTCTGTCCCACCGAGCTTGGCAGTTTCATCTGGAACACAAAGGTAACAGAGCCACACAGCTCAGAGATAGCCCTCACTCACAGCCATCTAGTTCAAAAGGCAAGAGAGCTTTTCTTTTTATAGTGCAGGGGGAACAAAAAAAGAAAGAGAGAGAAAGGAAAATCAAGTGGTAAGAGAGGGAGACAGGGGCTGAAAGTTTTCAGACTAGGTCCGAGGGCAGGTATTGAAAAGCCCGGTCGTGAGGGCTTTTATTTTCTCTCTCTCGCGTGTGTGCAAGACACGCTGTTTTACAGTTTCCATGTGTCACTGAATTAACAACAAAAGTTCTTCTTGGCTTCAAACCCTCTCCCGCGGTGCCCAGCCCATCAAAGGGCTCATTTACACAGCGGCTAATGTGCAACGCTGCCCTACTTTATTCGCTTTAGCCGGCCTGATTAGACTCATGCGCTAACAGACTCACTTCTCCTTTTACCTGCTGAGCCCCAGACCTGTGGGATTCATTTACAGAGCGGGCTTTGTAACAAAGGGGAGAGACAGAGAGAGCACAGTTACTTGACTGGCGGAAGTGTGAACGCACATTTACATCGGAGCTAAGGGGCTAGGTGAGAGATGAAGCATCAGATGTGAGCTATGAAAGGGGATCGGAGCTGGCCAGGAGAGGAAGAATGCATACACTTAGCAGGGTCCTTCCTCTGCATTCATTTGGGCTCTAGCAGGAGTGCTAGCTGCTCAGACCAAGCATTTATTAGATTACAAGCAGCACAAATGCTGCTGGCACAATATGGCAGGGAGAACAGGTTCCCAAGCCCTGCGGAGAGACCCAAGGAGGAATGAAAGCACTTGGTTCCTCAGCAGCGCCAGGAGACAGAGCGGGAAAGAAACAACGCTCAACAGCGCGGTGCCAAACACTCGCTGCGCACGGCCAGGCCGTCCCTCGTGCCCAGCCCTGCTGGGAGCTGAGCTCTCACCTCCACCCAGGGAGCACCTTCTCCAGCCCACGCTGCCTGCCAGGAACAGCCAAGAGGCGAGAGCATCCCACAGCCATCAGGCACACCCCTTACTGATCAGCAGCCCCAGCCCCGGCCAAACCAACGCTGCCTGCAACGCTGGGCTGGGAAGCACCTGAAGGAAGGGCCATTCTTTACTTCACTTTAAAACTGGCTCCTGAGGTGAGCTCACTGGAGGGTCCCACAGCCACCTTACTTCCCATATGACACAGGCTGAAGTTCCCCAACATCAGTCTCCCAACTTAGACCCATCTTTTCCACCGTGTTCACTGCCCCACGAAAAATGACACGAGACACCATCTGGAACTTCTTCATTCCTCTAAAGGCAGGAGCACTGCGTGCACATGCCCAAATAGTGTAAAGCATGAACCTTAACTTGGCTGAATACATCCCACCAGGAGCTCCACAACCTCCATGCAGCACCTGCTGGGAAAACATCCTTCTCCACCACATCATTTCAGCCAAGAAACCAGACTCTGGATGCCATAGAGCACCCCAGGAAAATGAGGAGAAAAGCAGCAGGCTGTAAGGCCCTGGCTGTAAGGCAACCCAGAGCACTGCATCAGGAGAAGAGTCTGTTTATTTGGTAGGTGCCACACTGCAGCTCACAGTAGGATGCCAAGGAAGGAAAGGTCACTCAGCACACCTTAGCAGGAGACAGAATGGTTAGCATTGGGAAGACACTCCTGAGAGGGCTTGGTCCTGAGAACTGTTCTGCCCCATGAGAAATCACACAGAACATTTCAGCTGGGCAACGTACCCAGCTTTGCCTCGGCTGAGGGCTGTATGGGTTGATCTAGTCAGCCTATGCTATCTTTAACTTGTAGGACAAAGAATTAACAGAGCCCAGGATTTCCTCACTGAAGAGCCCTGGACACGCCATACTTGTGTGACTAGGACAGCCCTGAAAGTTTGTCTTCATCCCCTGCCTCTAATATCAACCCCACAATCTTTCTGGTTAAAGTCAGGATTCCCATCCATTAAACACCAGCTGGCAAAAGCATGCTGGACCTAAAGGCAGCTTCAGAAACAAAGGGCAAGAAATAGGAAAAGTTCATGCTTGGCTAGGCTAGGCAGACAGACAAGAGGTCTTGGGGTTTGTTGGAAGAGCACAAGTTTTCTCCTGGGAGGCTTCCACTAGCTCAAGGAAGTACTGGCAATACAAACAATTAACTTAGCAAAAACTTCAACTGTGATGTTGTGTATGTCCTGCTCATGTCCCATGGGCCTCTGGTCAATGAGTACCAAGGCACAGTCTTCACTGGCACTCCTGAAGACTAGAGGATGGAGCAGAAAGACGTAGGACAAATTAACTTCAAAGAAAGGAACACTAGAGATGTTCAGGAGTGCGACTGTGAATTTACTTTAAAAACACATCAATTAAGCTTCCTTTTAATTCAAGCAGGAGGATCTGGCCTGCAAACAGGAAGGGCTTCATTGGTTTCTCAAAGCAAGAGTATATTTTAATTTTACCATCATTAAGAAAATGTTATGATTTATGTGGCTGCTGTCAGACTAATATCTTTAGAATTTAGCTGGCTAAGCCAATTCATCTCTAAGACTGATGAAGGCTGATTGCTCTCTATGCAAAATGTATTAAAACTAAATGAGCAGTCTATTACTCAAATGCTGCTGATAATCTGTTAGCCAGGGTCCGTTAGCTGGGCTGCCTTGCTGCAGGAGAGCAGCCTTCAAGCCCTGTACAGCTCTGATAAGCCCAAGCTTACTTCAGCAAGCCCTTCTTTATTTTGAGTGCTGGAAGTCGCGTATCACCTGCCCTCTTTCCCCAGAAATGAGGCAACCTGCAGGGACCACAGGTCCCCATGTGCTAAGGGCAGTGCCAAGGGCACAGAGAACGTCTCTCTGGCTCGAGATGTGTGCACTGGGATACGTGGTTCCTGCAGGCCCTCTCTCTGCATTAGCAAAAACACCAATCTCATTGTTTACACCATGGATCCTGGGATATTCTTGGTGTTGTCATGGATCGAGTTCTCCACAGGGACCAAGGAAAATTATGTTCCTCAGAGAACTCCAGTGAGCAACCACAGCTTCCGAGGTGAATGGCATTTGCCCTTTTCTTTCCTTCCTTATACTAGACTATTATTGTTATTTATTATCTTTAAAGTCCCCATATAATAATACTACCTGGGAAACAGATTGCTCCCGTCAGAAAACTGATTAGCCGGGATTTTTGAGGTTATTATATTTTGGATGCTCTTCTCCTTTGACAGCCTCTCCCTACAGCCCTCTTTGCAACACCAGCCTGCACTTATAATTACACCAACATTGCTTTTGATTTAAAGACTGTAGTCCTCTGTCCTTGCTATAAACAGCATTAAACACATGAACTACGTGTACCAAGAGAAAAATAAATAAAGAGCTACAGAAGATTGTGTGAACCTACACCATGAAGCCACAGAAGCAGAGCCTACCTGTGTGGAGGGCAGCCTTGCCTGATCCTGGGACGCGCAGCCCCTGCCGGCATGCGCGGGGCACACACTGGGACCCACCCGGCCTGCTCTGCCCTGAAGGAGGAGGGCACTGCTCAGGAGTTGAGCCTTGAGCTTCAAGAGATGAACAGAGCATCCCCCACACTTTCACTGCAGGGGCTGAGAGGCTGGTGGGTGGCCCTGAGCAGTTTGATTCCTATAAAGGGTCTCACTGCAGAGTACCCTTGAGGTTTTGAATGATACAGGACTTTTATCTAACGTTTGAGACAGTCCGCCAACAAAATCTTGCTAATTTGCACTAATGACTGGGATACCTACTGCAAATTAATTGCTAATTGGCAAAACTCATTAAATGAACAAATGTGATAAGAAATAACTGAAGGTACAGCTTCCCCAAACAGACTTGCTTCATTTATTTTTGTGTGCCATTCAGTTTTCATGATTTATGTTAATACCTTTAAGCAGAGTTATAAATGCATTTGACTAACTTTTGGAGGAGTAATGAAGTCTAAGTAATAGCAGAGTTTATAACACAGTCCTCTCATGTCTTACAGCATCACCAGCTGGCAGATAGAGACTGTCCTGGGGATCTACAGTAGGAATGGAAGAGGTCTGCAGGATCTACAGACAGATTTGGTTATATCCCACAGATATAATCATATCTGTGTGGTCACCTTAAATGTCCTACTCTCAATTTATCACTTTCTTCATAAGTCCTTCATTTGTGGTGCTGACAACTTTTAAAAAAATAATAAATAAATTCCACTTTTGTGCCAAAACCTTCTATTTGGTTGATTGCAAAAATACCTTATTTTTTTAATTAATCAATGTTTATTTGGATATTTCACATGTACCCTCTGTGATGCTGCACTTCAATTTAATTCAAATTTGAGACAATCTTTTCCTTAAACCCAACCTTCTCCAACCCTAAACAATATGACTGTCCTAAAACTGTTAATCCTAAAAACTCTGCACATCTGACCTGTGTCTGTCCAGCTATAAACTGGTTTTATGCACCACCATGGTATTGTTGCTCAGCATTATAATACAGCTCACTGACATTGAAAACCACCTTCTTCATGGATTTCAGCAGCAAGCAAAGTTTCTCGTTAGGGACCTCTTTCATGGATATCTTTAGAGTACCAAATTGCTTCAGTGGATTTCCAGGAAGGAGTGCTAAAGTTTCAGATGAATAATGTTTTTTGCATTTTCTGCCTGAATATGGGAAAAGTCGGTTAACCTTTCCTCAGCTGCATGTCTCTACTCTGCAGGAGCAGAAAGCCTCCACTCCTGAACAGTTTTAAGGCTCAAGGAAGGAAAGAACCATATTAAGTACTTTAGCCTTAGAGCTCTGAAATTTAAGAAGCCCCAACAAAGAAATTAATTTTCAGATATGAACACACACATTTCTGTAAGTCTAAAGTACTTAACTGCTCAGAACTGAAGTGCTACAATGAAAGGGGGATGGGTGACTGCAATGGATATATGCAAAAGTTAGAAAAGTTTGAAATTGCACAGGTATTCTGTCCCTCAATGAACATACATGCTTGCCCCTGCCCCAGCTTACAGCCA